AATGAAGTTTTTTTAAAGACATATATTATTAATTTTAGTAAAATTTATAATAAAAATTAAAATAACAATTAGTTAAAATATAATATGTCTAAATTTGGCAAGAGAGAAAAATGTTTATTTTTTCATAAACAGGAAGAATAGTGTAATATTTATATCTATGAAGGATGTTAATGTAAAGGTGTTTTGGTAAAAAATTTTTTTATTTTTAAAGAAAGTCAATGAAACTTTAACAAAAAATTTATGAGAAAAATGAATAAAATTTTATATATTGAAATCTATTGGAAAAAAGAATTGTAACTTTTAACATGAAAAGAGAGACCAAACAATGTAATATTTATATATCTTACAAGAAATGAGTGTAATTTACTTTAAAATAAATATTATACTAAAAGTATATAGTTGAATTCAGCCATAGAATATGTGTATGTGATATAAAATATAGTTTTTATAAATAAAGAATAAGAATAATTAGTGTAATTTATGGGTAAGAAAGCATGAAAGTGTAGGATTGTTTAGGGATGATGTGCGCAACGTACATCATTAAATTTTACAGTTTGGAAGGAAGGAATAAGGATAGCATTACATTGATTTTGCATAATGATTTCTGATTCAATGGATGACGATGTCATTCCTCCACCACCTCCTGTTCCATCTCAGCCTAGCCTGCAAACATTGTGGGAAGGGATGTCACTGCTCACTGCTTCAGAAGCTTTTGTTTATGGCCAAAATCCTTTGCTTTGTCTCTTTGCTCAATCATTTCATACATCTCTACTCATAATATACTATTTCTATTTCAAATGTGATTTAATCATTTTTTGTTCTTTAAAATTGCAGTACATCCCTGCTCATGTAGTTTCCATAATAATTGGATTGAGACAACATTGGCAAGAACTTTGAGGAAGAACAAACGAAAACCAAATGAGTTTGCGTGGTAGGGGATATTTTTTTGACAATGCTCATATTGACTAACATAACAATTAGTCTTTTATATGTTTTGTTTATATTGATGATATCATACTACATGTACTCTCTAGAACAACTTCATTACTAATTGGTTGTTATTTTGAATCAAAACAATATATCTAACTTTCAGCTTTATATCCTCATCTATTACTTAGGCTATTAAAATTGTTAATTATATTGATAATATAAATAAGGGATGCTATTATTTTAATCATAATAATTTATTAAATTATTTAAAACAATATTATCAGTGATTATTATTATTTTCTTTATTCATCAATGTGAAGTATGTATCCTATTTTTACCTAATTTTTTAGCCAAATCCCTTAAAGGTGTTTTCTTTATTCATTTTATCTTTATGTTTTTAAATTCAAAATATTTATAAATCATTTTTTAACAGTTTGTCATCATTTTTTAATTTAATGTTTAAATAATAAAAAATATTAATTTCATATAACATTAATTTTTTTAAAAAATATTCTCCTTGTGCATGGCACGGACTCTACACTAGTTTATATTTATGAAGGAATGTTAATATACAGGTGCTTTGGTAATAATTTTTTTTTCGTAAAGAAAGTTAATGAAACTTTAATAAAAAAATTTATGAAAAAAAATGGATAAATTTTCAAATACTGAAATTTATTGGGAAAAAAATTTGTAACTTTTAACATGAAAAGAAAGATCAAACAATGTAATATTTATATATTCTTGAAAAAAGGAGTATAATTTACTTTAAAATAAACATTATACTAAAAGGATATTCACCATTAGAATATGTGCATGTGGTAAAATCTTTGATATAAAATATAGTTTTTAATTATAAAAATAAAAATAATTAGTATAATTTAATCTTTAAAACTAAAAAAATATATTATTTTATTTAACATAAAAATGTTTGTGATATAAATTACAAGCTTCTCATGGTTACCCGCGTTAAATCTTGGGGTCATTTATCCCACCCTTTAAGGTATTTCTAACGTAGTGAGAAGATTAGTCACTACTATTAGCGGTGATACTTCAAGAAAAAAATAAATAAATAAAGCTTTTTATGGTTACCGATTAACCCTTCATGGATTAATTAATTATACTTCTCCTCATTAAAAACAGTAATATTCAATTTTTTGATGAACGTATATACAAAATTATTTGTGGAGAGATGTAAATTCTTTAAATTGATTTTAAAGTTTTAAAGACGAGTGGTTATTTCTTAATTACGAAATTTGTTGTTAAAAAAAAAAAAGGTGAGATAATAACGTGAGACATTGACATGTATAAGTATTAAGTATAAGGCCCAAATTAAAAATGAGATTGTATGAAAGAAATAATAATAAAAAAAGTGTTGGGGTGGGAAGAAGAGGTTGGTTTCATATGGTAGCTTGCTTGCCCACAGTCTGAGTCTGATAGTTTGAGAGATCTGAAACAGTGAAAGTGTAATTGGAGGGTGCATGTTACATGTTACATGTTACATGTTACATGGTACATGTTACATGTTACTTGTTACTTTCTCATTCTCTAACTCTCTCTCTCTGTTCCAATGAAGGAAGCTGAGAAGCTATTGGATCCCCAGCTATGGCACGCCTGCGCCGGTGGCATCATTCAGATGCCGCAACTCAACTCCAAAGTCTTCTACTTTCCGCAGGGTCACGCCGAGCACGCCCACACCACCCTCGATCTTAAGGTTCCGCCGCTCATTCCGTGCACCGTCGCCGCCGTCAAGTTCATGGCCGACCCCGAAACCGACGAGGTCTTCGCCAAGCTCAGCCTCCTCCCCAACTCCGACCTCGCCCGAGACTCCGGCGCCGCTGACTCCGCGCCGGAGGCGGCGGAGAAGCCGGCGTCGTTCGCGAAGACTCTGACGCAGTCCGACGCGAACAACGGCGGGGGGTTCTCGGTGCCGCGGTACTGCGCGGAGACGATTTTCCCGCGGCTGGACTACACGGCGGAGCCGCCGGTGCAGACGGGGGGGGCGAAGG